CGCCGAGCCGGGCGCGGAGCCCCCTGCGCCCGCGCACACCCCGCCCGGCACGCACTGCACACGCGCACATGCACATACGCACACACACAGGCGCACGCACAAACGCACGCACGTCCGTGCACACACATACGTATGCACGTACACAGGCGTGCACACACACACAGACCCTTCCTGCGGTCGTCCCTGGCGCTGTCCCGGGCTCCGCTTTCGCAACCCCCGGGAGCAGGCCCCCGGCTGCTGTCCCGCACACACGCGGCTCGGCCTGGCGGGAGCGCCCGCAGGGACACCCGCGGCCCGCGGCAGGCACCCGGCGGACACCCCCTCCGCTCCCCTCGTCCACCCGGGGGCGCACGCGACACCCGCCCTGGGCCGTGGAGATGCTCGGGCGCGCTCAGAAACAGCCGGTGTCACGCAGAGCCGGGGACACGGGTGTCTCAGTGTGCCCCTTGAGTGGGGAGGGGAGGGGATGGGCGGCGTGCCTGTCCCAGGCCATGGGTGTGCGTGGCCCTCGGGGAGCTCCTGTCAGGCCGAGCCACGTCCACGCTGGTGTTTACGTGTGTCCCTGCACTGTGCTTGTCCCCGCGTGTCTCTGTGTTTTGCGTGAGGCGCGGTGTCTCCTGAGCGTCCTCCCAGGCGTCCCCCTTGCCTGTAGCTCTGGCCGAGTTGCACACCTGCACCTTCCCAGTCTGAGCTGCAAGGTGGAAACCAATCTACCCTGCCTTCTGCTGCCCCCCATAAAGGATTAAACTGTCCCAGGCAGGGTACACGGACACGACATTTCTTATCTGAGGGAAGGAAGATACTTGTCTTTGATTTTTCTCAAGCTGTATGTTACAAACTTAACAATCATCTGTTCCTGGTCAGACACTTTGAGAATCTTGGTCATGTGTTTGAGAGACCCCTGAAAATGGCAAAAGATAAACTAAGATGTGAATACAGCGAGAGAAGAAGCTGCTGCTAACCATAAGATATTCAAGCATGTAACTATTTAAAAGGAACCTGATTGAATGTGCTGAATTCCTTTTAATAAGATTTTTAGGAGTCTGTTACATAGCAGCTGTCTGGAAACAAGCTTGGTTTCAAAAAAGACTAAGCTCCTCCCCAAAAGGCAGAGAGAAAATAACTGACACTTCCTGCTTGTCTACAAAAATATCCCCAAATGTTTGAGTCAAGTGAATTGCAGTCAATAGGTCAGTGCATACTTTTCCTTTCTGATAGCTAATATTTGCTTTTTCTTCTTGAAACAGAGAATTAAACTGGAATCCAGACATGAGGAAGGTTTTCTTGGTGGAACCTGTCATTGTCATATACTGTTTTGCTTTTTTCTTGTCCCTCCCACTAGTACAACAGTATATTTATCGAAGGCTGTGGGAAGAAGAAAACAATACCACTTTCATTGATTATGGCAACACTACTTACTGTGAGCAAAATCAAAGTAACCCAGCCTATATCAAACAAAAGGTAAGAGGGGAGAAAAGTAAAAAAAAAATTATAAATGAAAACTTACAGTGAAGGGCTATCTAAATAGTCTATATATATATATATATATATATA